AGATAAAATTTTGTTTTGATCAAAATCAAAATAAACAAACCAAACACGCATTTATTTGGTTTGATTCAAGTAACAATATCCGGAACGTTACGTAACTGCGGTTTTATACAGTCACATGACATAATCAATATAAAATAGTCTTCGGAAGATATCGTGCGGAGACTTTTGGCGGGGGTCTGTAGCTTTTCAAATACAGTATAATATTAAGTATATAAGAGTTTAAATAGTTTATCTTTTGATATTGCTTCATGAGAAAAAGGTATAAAAGAAATTATTTATTCTTCAGAAGCACTATTAATATTATTAAAAAATTCAATAATATTTATTATATAAAAGAATAAGGATATTATTAAAAAAAAGAAATTGCGAAAAAAATAATGTAATATAAGAGCATGAAAAAAAGTTATTCATATTATAATCAGCAATAAAATAATAAAAATCATATAATACAAATATAGTCTAACATAGTGATGGGTTTTAGACACATTTTTAATTTTGAACAAGGTTTTGGACATATGAAATTGTGTCCAAAACCTGTCCAAAACTATCCAAAATTATTCAATTTTCCAATACTGATCTAACGTTTAAAAAAAAATCATTTAATTATATTTTAATAAAAAATCTTAATTATAATTAAAATATTCTATGATGGTTAAACATTTTAACAATTAAAATTTAAGAGATAATGATTAAATAATATTTTATTTCAGAAGGTTTCAAAAATTTTATATACTTTTTTTATATAAAATTTTTATTAGGTAATTTCATATAAAGTTTCTCTTTAAATAATAAATAAATTATAATATACAATAAAATTATTTTAAAAAAAAAAATTATAAAAAAAATATAATTTTAAGTTTATCTGATTGATATACATACAGTAGACCAAAAGATCGATTTAAGATTAGATTAAAATTAAATTATGATCGGCAGTATATACAGTACCTTCGAAAAATATTTGTGATAAGTGATGATTGAGTATTAATGTCGCAATGTCGCACAAAAGTATAAATATAAAAACTGATTATGTTACCCAAAAATATTTTATGATTGTATTCGTTTATTTTAGAAGTTTTGATACTTTCTAATACTTACAATATTAAAGAGAAATCACTAAAAATTGACTGTGTAACGTTATCATGCCCTATAAATAAATCTTTCTTTATTAAACAAAGAAATTTATATCCATTTGAATAATGGACTAATGAATGAACATGTACAACATAATGTCGGCCGTTTTTCAAGTTATTGAACAATAAATTTTTGGAATTTACAATGAAATACTAATCGAGCAGTTGTTTTTTTTTTGGTTTTGAAACTTTAATTAATATCGGCCGATTGGAAAAGTCCCCAAATTTTTTGGAAGGTCATTATTTAAATTCATATTTTAAATTTTCATCATATGATTTCAATTAGAAAGAATTAGTTCACAAAATTTATAGTAAAATTAAGAATATTTTTAGGCTAAATTTAACGAATTTTTTAACTTGTTACTTTCTATATAAAATTCATTGATGGGTTCCTTATGTAGTTGATGGGTTACTTGGTTCATAAGTATCGTTATAGTGAATTCGGTTATAATAAAATCACATTATAGCGATAGTGAATTTTTTTTAATTCACCAATTTAATTTTTTATGATAAATTTCTCTCGAGATAGTGAACTCTTAATAAAATTTCATTATAGTGAAGAAAAATGATCAGAACCAAGAGTTCACTATAAAGCAGGGTTGGCAAAAGACCTTGAAATGACCTTGAAATGACCTCAAATGACCTCAAATGACCTGATTGTTATTATAAATTTCAAATCAAAAGACCTTATAATTTGCCATCACTGCTATAAAGAGCTTTGACTGTACGCTCAATTTTCGATATGTATATTTTTTTAATAAAATTTGAAATCGTAACGGCAAAGGATATTTATCATGTTTTATATTATTTCGAATTATAAACAGTTTATTTTTAATTTTTTTTTATTTAATTTCTAAATTATAATAAGATGCTAAAATTAATATTTAAAAAGAGAGTGTAAAGATAAATTATGGTAACGTTGTATGTTAAAAATTATAACTATGTACAAAATATTTTTAAATTAAAAAAAAATGCTAAAAATGAGGGAAAGGATGCAGGTTCTACATTACTTTTGTTGAATAATATTTATAATGATATGGATGGATTATCTATTTTAATTTTTTTTTTTTTTTTTAATGCTCACAAAAATAAGCATCATAAGTTGGAGGTAATTTATCGGCAAGAGGAGCAGGTATTAGGGAGGATATACTACGATAAGAAGGTAATTTATTCAACTCTTCAATGTTATAATCATCAATTAAAAGTTCATCAAAAGAAGAAGTTGAAGAGATCGAAGAAGAACATGAACTTGGAGAATCATCATCAAAAATCATGTCAGCAAAATGTTCATCATAAGCCGGAAGAGACATTGAATCATTATTTGGGGAAATTATGATTGGAATATCGGCAATCAATTCGCTAAAACTTGCACTTCCTTGGTTGGCAAACATGATAAAAAACTTAAGCTTGTGTTTGATTTTGATGATGTCATTCTGCGAGTCGCAGAGGCATGCTGAAAAAGGTGGAATGAACATTTCAAAAGAATAATTCCAAGAATTTCCTTCGCACGGGAAATGATTTTCTCGATGAACTCTCAAAATCTTTGAAACCGTTTTTTTACTTGTCCCCACAGTACTCGTGGCATATTCTTTTAGTGTGCATAAAAGGTTATGAACTTTAAGCCCTTCATGAATTGGAATTAAGTTTATCGAAACTGTGACTTTTTCACCAAAAACAAAAACTTTTGAATCCACGGAAATCTCGTAATCGACTTTTCCAGTCCAAGTATTTGCCACCATTGAATTTTGTGAATATTCGAATGAACTTGGTAACAGACTTCTTTGTAAGGTGACCTTTCTCTCCGAATGAAGGTTTAGAGCAAAGGCGGGTCTTTCCGCAACAGCTTTTAATTTGTAACCTAATTTTCCAAGTTCACATCGATCAATTGTCTCGGGTAAAGTTCCTGGTAGGATCAATTCAAAATCCCAGTGATAATTATCGGGTGCGAGCACGGTACATTGCTTTTTTGCTGGTAAAAATATCCAGTCGTGTTGAAATAAAATTCTTTCTTCATTAAGATAATATTGACCAGATCCTACGCCTTTAAAATTAGAAGAAAATCATTTTTAATGAAATGAACATTTGTGTTTATAAAGTGTAAAAAATGTCAAGAAAAAAACGACAATTACCATCTGCCCATGCCAGCTTTGATTTTCCTTGAAAAGTTAATTTTATTTCCTTGAATTTCGTTGGTTCGGTTATAACTAAAACGAGTTGACCACGAAGAACACAACCAACCGACTCTGATTGTAAACCACGCATTGTCAAAGTATCTTGTTCTAAACGGATCTGAAATAAAGGTGAAGGATTGATTGATGCCGAAAGATGTACCATCTTTTTTTTTTTAAAAAATTATTTTAATGTGTTTTTATAAATTAAAAAGTGAAATGTTTGAAGTGATCTTATTTAAGAAATGTTTCGATTTATTATTTTTATTTTTTTTAAGAAAGCAAAAAAGTGGGTTTTTTTTTTTTATTTTTTGAAAAAGTCGAACCATATTTATAATGAATTCATTATTGTTTAAATTTTTTTTACAATAAAGCTATATAAATTATTATTCACACGATTTTTTATATATATATATATTAAAATACACTAAACATTACATAAATTAATTTGTACAAAATTATCTTTGTGTGGGGATTTCCATTATAAGGAATATGTAACATATTAATTAGAATATTTATTTTTAAATATTTTTTTTATAAATTTTTTTTTTTTCGACATCAATTGAAATTCATCATTGAACTTTAATTTTGGGCTGACAGAAAAGCAGGATTATTTTCAAGAAATGTGATATATATTGTTTTAATAAAAAAATAGGTCATCTGGTACTAATTTAAAATACATATTTATTAGGAAAGGACAACAAAGAATTTTAATTAAAAGCGAATAAAGTATTTGTAATATAAACCTGATGGTAACATTTGAATATTCAAAATATTCATGTACAAACATCTAATCATATAGATAATAATATAATATATATTTATTTATATTATGATGTAAGTCCCTTAAAAAAAATCTTTCATCTGATAAATATTTTACAATACAAATTACATTGTTATTATGAGTCTTTAAATAGTTTAGTATAGATTTTTTTACGTTATCTATTATTCATCTACAAAATCAAATGAAATCATAATGTGCAGAAAAAAAACAATTTTTATGGAAAAAACTTATTTTTCCACCATTTAATTACATTTAATAAATTTAATAAAATAATAAATAAGCCCATCTCCAGTTTAGGTCATATTTCATCCGGAAAAGGTCATTGTACATAGATGAATTTTAGCTCGATTTGTTTAAAAAAAATGTAATTTTGATGGAGAACTAAACAAAAAAAATCTGATAAAATATTTTTTGTGGGGTAAAGTTACACGTGCGTTATATGAAAAAAATTTTGTTATGATCTTAAATGGAATTCCAAGGAAAAAATGGCACAACACTAAAATTGGTCCGTTGGCTGTGAGAAAATAATCTGGTGATAAACTTTTTGATTACAAATTTAGGATTGATTAACAAACTGATCATCTCTCAACCAATAAAAGAAAAAGACATGGAGGTCATCCGCCCATTTTTTCAATGGTAAAATGTTTGTATTTTGATTCTTGCAATCCTTGTAAGTAAAATTGTAAAATATTCTATATCCCTCGTGACGAAACCGGCTATGAATTTGTGGAACTTCAATTTTACGCCAATAACCGAAATTTGGTAATAAGTTTTTTTTTTCATCAAAACTTAACCTCTGACCTTGATGTCAATACACATATCGCCATTGATCACAATAATCTCCTCATTTCTCGAAGGAATCATTTAAATTTTCTCGTGCGACTTAGCCCCGCTTTTTTTTCCCTTTCTCAACCTTTTTCTATTTGTCACAGAAATCCTTTTCACGTATATCACACACGCATAAACAATCATGCATCCCGCTAAAAAAATTTCCTTAGTTGGGGTGTTTCTCTTTGAGTTACTCATTAAATAATTTTCTTTATGCAGGTAAACAGATAAACAAAAAAAAAAAAAAAGAAGTTGTAAGTGCGACCAAGAAATTTTTTGATGAGAAAAAATTAAAAATACTATTATCTTTAAATGGTTTCAAGTGGCAGGTGAACTTTTATGCAAAGCTATTTAAGGTATAAATGAAATGAAATGCATGAATGAAACATTTGTTTGAGGACGGCTTTTTTTTTTCCCTTTTGATGCAACTTTCGTTCTGGATAGAATGTTTGGATTACAAGAACTCAGTTATTTGTTTTTATTCATTGAAAAGAGACCAAGGATTTATAATTTAGTTAATGTGAGATTCCAATTTGTCCAAAAGGCGAAAATTTTTACCATTTCCGCACTTACGCATTTTACGCAGTTCACGATTTTTTAAAAAGTAGGAATTATGTAACATCTAGTACCATACAATTATGCATATTTTGATTTCTTTAACTTTAAATGTGTTCTATTTTGCCGAATAATAATAATTCTCCTGATTATCTATCAAATATTGATTTGATCATGATAAGATTAGATAAGATTTTCATACCCACCACATACTGTAGTGTAGGTGTTAACCAAATATTTATTAACATTACTTATGATGATTGGAGATTCCAATCGAATTAGCCTTAAAATTGATTGTTTGAATACTTACAATTGTCCATAAGTCAGAAAAATTGGATTTGTTTTGTAATTTTTTTTTTTCATCGCATCAATCACCAATAGTTAAGACCGAATTTTCAAGTTTTTAACTAGTATATTTAATATATTAAAGCATTTAAAACCGGTTTTATCTTGTAAACTGATTCTTAAAAAAAAAAAAAATTATTTACAAAAAGTGGCGATGGCTCCTTGACTTATGGGAATAGGAAATGAAGATCGAAAAAAAAAAAAAAGAATCTCCAATTAAACTCGCTTATTTGAAACGTGCTTAAAAAAATTTAATATTTGGTAATTTGAATTTGTAATTTAAAGAGAAATTTTAACCGAACAATATGATCATAAATTTCTTTACCTTTTTTTGATTATTTATCATCATTATTACGTAATAAAAATCCTTTTATTTTGATTGAACATGTATGTTTATTAAAAAAAAAAATTCACACGGGCTGGGAATTTTGTGATTGTAATTTTTATCTGATATAGTTAAATGAATAAGGTCATTTGCAAGTGGAATTGGCTTTAACGAAAGATATTAAACTAAAAGATACAATTTACCCAAGATAATTCTTTATGGTTGAACCAAATGTGGGATATACAACTTTACGAGCGTAAATCAAAGTGAAGGCTAAGAATGTATGCCAAAACTATTTGAGGTTCTGCCGATAATATCAAACCTTCGGTTGGTTTCGTGATTTAAACGTAGTTTCCAGCATTGACAGGGCTTATAAGAATCACCCAACTTTAAATTAAATAAAATCCACCAAGAAATTAATATCAGCAAATATCAACAAATTAAAAAAAAGCCATTTCAGCATTAGAAAAAGCCTTCTCAATATCCTTCCACAAACAACTCTTACAAAACAAGCAACAACCCAGCACCATGACTTCCTGACGAAATATCAGGATTTGTTCAAAAACGTGATACTTTGAACGGCGACCCATTTCTTGGAAATTTTACTCTTATTTATTACATAATTAAATAAAGTAGTTGGGTGACGAGACATAATTCTATCCGAAATTTTTACATGATAATTAAGGTTAGAAAATTATTAGCAAAGAATTATGTTATGGTTGAGCCTTTTTCTTAAATAATTTTTTACCTTCTTCTATTTCAATTTTTTTATAATAAAAATAACTTTACTGAATCCGTATCATACCGCAATAGACAAGGTGTATTTTTTCGTTTTATCACTAAATAAAAGAATCCGGATGATATTTGATCGGTGACCTTATCGTTGGTAATTTCGCTCAAATAGCTAAACGTCGCTTTGTGATTTTTTAATCATATTTCACATACGATTTAAGATGGATCAAAGTACAACTCATTTGATTGTTTCTTTAATGGAATTACCTATAATACTTTACAAAATTCGGAAGCTTGTAGATATTAAGATATTCCTAATATGGAAGAAAATGAATGAAAAAAATTTATTCCTATTAGGAAAGTAGCGTATCCGCCGGGTCTATCAAAATGTTCCTGCATCACTAGTATATAAATTCTTTGCATGCGCTATGTCTCCCTACGAACTTGCACTTCAAGGTCGAACATTCCTAAAACTTGATCAAATTATCCAAGCTTTCTTTCCACAATTGCTTGTAATATGGGACCTTTGCAATAGAAAGGCGGGAAAATCAATTTTACTTTTACATGTAAAATATGACCTTCAGCTGAAAAACGTTATTAACTCATTTTTTTTTTCTGGCAATGTCTCCCTTTCTATTGCAAAGGATCTATATGTTTCAATATCATTATCAACTTATAATGACAGCTTGTGCACAATTATCATGCGCGAACAGTTCTAAATCATCAATTGTTACTCAGTTTGTTTCTTATCATCATGAAGTCAATAAATAGGCCTAAACTGTCCAGTAATCGATTATATCCAACATTCCATGAATATAAAGTTGCTCTACTTGGGAGTATTTTGGACTTCGAAAATTGAAGCGCTGAACGAGACTAATTAATTAAATATATATATATATATTAATACAATAATACATTTTCTATGTTTATAGCAGCACATCATTGATCATTTCAAAACCTGTTTATGCAAAAGAAATAAAACTATTTTTTAAAGATTAACCAAAAATAATATATAATATTTGTTAAATTTCTTAAAGAGGAGAGAAGCAGCTTTTTTGTGGTCAAGAGGACGATAACTGTGTAAACTTAATTTTATTCAAGCTCTCCCGCAAGTAATTTCGGTATAAAATTTAGCTTCTTCTTCAATGAAGGTCAAGTTAGTTGGATGTAAGACTAAAAATTTCTAAAGTGTACTGTAGGGCAAAAAGTAAAGAAAGTCAAAGTTGAGACGCAACACGTCCAAATTGACGCGTTTGTAAATCTGTCCTATGTATAAAGTGAATTTCTCCGGACACCCGTGGGGCTTTTGTGGGAAAATACTATGCTTTATCGATCATTTTTGATATATAAAGAATCATCACATTATATAAAATCAATTCGGCATAATAGGCGAATCAATAAATTCAATAGTTTAGATTATGAAATACTATGTAATTTGATTCTTAAGCAGTAAAATCAAGATTACATAAATTAGCTTATGGCTGAAATAAATTAATTATAAATAAATTAATTATCAAAAAGTACATATTAGTAATATATTTCATATTTTTAGGTAATTAGGTAATATATATATAAAAGTATATATAATAATCAACTT